CTTCTCTCTACACCCTTTTGACAAAGTATTTATTTTCTTGTATAATAGCTTTATAAGAAGTTATACAGATCTTGAATCAATATATTATAATAGCTTAAGTAGTCAAAAGGGTATATAGAGGAGTTTGCACTTGACTACCTACTCTACATAAAGTGCAAACTTTATTTCTTTGAATGATCAAAACTATATGATAACTAATTAGACGTGATAATTGAGAATTACTATCTAAAATGACTTGTTCATATCTAATTCTAATAACTACGATACATGTTGCTTTTATATATGTTCAAACTATATTTCGTTAGTTATACAAATTCATGTTCACTAAATCTATTGGTTTCAGTGTTCGCTTATTCGTTTGCTCATTCATTTGCTCGTTCATTTAGTTATTCATTTATTCGTTCGCTTGTTCGCTTGTTCGCTCATTTGTTTGCTCACTTTACGTGATTTGATTTTTATCCAATAAGATATAAAATATGTATAATCCAATAATATGAAATATTATGACAAAAAATCATTATATAACAGTATATAGAATATTTAGATCATAATAATGTAAATAAATCCAACAAAAATAGTAATATTATTATTTTATATAATTTTATGTATTGTTATAAGAATATATGAGAAATCATGTGAGATTAAGCTAGGTGAAAGAGTTATATAAATAACTTTTAAAGTGAGAGAGAATACTAAGTTATCTAAAGATAGATAACATATATTCATTTTGTTGGTTAGCTAGAATAAGATCAGAGATAATTATATGTTTCAACATATTTTTTCAGAATTTTTGGACTCGAGTCAAAGATCACTCTCGCATATGTTTGTTATAAAAAAATTATGCATTTGTGAAAAAATATATTGAAAAATGTTTATGTAAAGATAAAATTTTCAATTTTCATGTTTTATTAGTAAATTATGGTGTTGCATTTTCTTTTGATTGTTGCTGTATACAGGGAGTTTTGAGTAAAGAAAATAAATATCAAAATTCTTTATTGTTCGATTAATAATAAATACAATTCCCAAAATTTTTTTGTAAATACGAAAATATCACTTTTTTCAATAAGGAATTCCTATTAAACAATTTTATAAGAAATTATTAGCAACCAGATTTCATTTCGCAGAGGCAACGATCGCGATAAAAGATGGCAGATAAACTCACCATTCGTCGCCTTTTGGAAACTATCGTACCACACAGTTCTCCTATTCTCAAACGACTGATTAATTCGCTCAATCATAAAATCGGCAGCGCCTCGTTCCGTTTTGTCAAGTTGGAAACGTGTGCGTAAATTTTTTAGTGTTCTTTCTCCTTTAAAACATGGAAGACCTGATCCAAGCATCAATGCAACGCATTGGATAATTTGTTCTGCGTATGACCTTTAGGGATAAATAAAAGATGAATTAATTTTGAGCAATAAACAAGGAGAGGAAAGAATATTATGATTTTATTACCTTGATGCTAAATAAGCCTTAATACAAAGTTCAGAAAACCATTTGAATGGCTGCACATCTGCGCTACCACCCATAACTTGGATCATTTCGGTGGTGAGCTTGAATGGTGAACTTTCGAATGTGATACCGCCTGGTGCGATTTCAAGGATATATCCGAAATCTATAATCATGTTTGGAAATAATAATGAATCGGCATAACTAATAACGCTATCACACATTTTTTTCTACTTACCGATATGAATTATATGTCCTGCATCATCTAACATGATATTGCCATTATGCCTATCTTTGAATTGTAAAAGGTACGACACGACAGAATAAGCGGCAACACTCTGTATAAAACAATTTCTGGCCTAGACATTATTGATTACGAGTCAATAGATTTTTTTTAAGAACATATATCCAATTATTGTTAAAAATTTGAACTCACTTTTTGAAATTCAATCGAATCTAATCCTCCATATCTGGTCAAAAAATAGCTAGAGAAAACCAAAACGGCACTGTAAGAAATTGTATATATAAGGAAGATGAAAAAGAAGAGATCGGAACTTACTCATAAAGACTATTAACTTTTTCTCGCCCTAATTGATCCCGTGATATTGACTTTGGGATTACATCAATTACGCCACACTACCAGCAACAATAATAAAAAAGAATAATTAAGCTCCATATACCCATGAAAAAGTAGGATAATAAAAAACAAAGAAAATAAACATACTCCCGGTGCAGTGGCGACAATTCGATATGGGAATAGATACAAATCTAGTCCAACGCTCGTAAATATATTTTTGAAGATAGCAATCAACTGTAACGCCAACACATCTTGTCGACAATCGTCACCAACTTTGAAGATTGCCGATTGCCAAACATCAATAGTTTTTTCTTTCCTTGGAAGTCCCTCTGTATCTGCTCGTGCGACCAGAACTTCTTTGATTTCGTCTGAATCGTTTTTCGTCTTTCGGATTTTGAAAGTTGCCATAAATGGTGCCTTAATTTTTATAAATAAAAATTTAAATTTAAATCTAAATTTAAATTTAAAAGCGGAATAAATATATAGATAGTACTTTTGCGTGACTTTGCAAAGGACGTCCAGATTTGTAATCGATACCGATGACAATTCCTTCCGGATTACTGGGCAAATAGACGCCAATATCTACTTTGATTTTTTTCATTTCTTCGTCGATTTTTTGCTATACATGTAATTAATAATTGTAATACTTAAATACTTGTAATACAAAAAACTAAGAAAAATTTGCGCGGTTTTTACCTTCTTTTCTTCTTTAGACTTTTTAATATAAGGTTTAAGCTTTCCCGATATCGAGGTGACATTATTAAAGAATGTAAATTCTCGCTCGAAGAATTCTTTGTCTTTCCCAGATAGAGAGTCCACTATGTTATCAATTATACGGTCGAGAGTCGGTTTTAAAGTATCTGGCTAAAATCATGCAGTCTTGTTAATTAAAAATTCATATAAAATAGCAAACAAATGATAATATGGATAATTACAATGGATGATTCTTCATCTTTGAACATGTTTGCTTTCATGTTCCAAATAATCTGATGCGCGAAAAGTTGCGATATTTGGGCAGCATTCATTATAAATCTTTCAACATAACCTATTATAATATAATTAGATAAGCGAACAGAGATAGATATTTGTTATGCAGATTTTTTCGCACCTAGTTTATCGTGTCGCAATGCTTGAACTATTTGGGGGATATAGAAAAACACAACATCCACAGGATGATATTCCAAAGCTCGCATTGCGTATTGTAAGACCAAAGGATTATAGTTATATGAAGGGGAAAAATATGTAATGGCCGTGATTGGCGGTACTGGTGCCCAATAAAGTAAATACTGCCAAAAATTGATTTAAAATTTTGCCTCAATCACCCAAATAACGTAAGCATAACCGATTATTTGATGAATTGAAATACCTTTAATCGAGGTACAACATTCTGTGCTAATTTTTCGCCCAATAATAAAGGCAAAGCCTCCACCACGCCAACAGCTTCCGCGGTATTATTAGCAATAAGAGTATGCAGTTCATTTTGCACTACTGGTTGTTGGAAGCGCGCAGTTAGTTGGACAGCAAGTTGTGGGGAAATATCCCAAGCATGACGGATTAATTGTTTCCATCCATCCTTTTGAATTTGGAAGAAATAACAAATTTAATAACTATACATCATATTTTACTGTGGAGCATTTAGATAATATCCATACATCTGTTAATGTTTTGTCCACAAGCATCTCCTTGATTTGATCCGTGGCATTTAAAGGATTACTCCATGTTGCAAGCCTACCGAGTTCACTTTTTAAGAATAGTAATAAAAGTTTTTTGGATTGTGCCGCTTGCTTTATTATATCTTCTCGTGTTTTATCTATACAATAGGCACCATATTTGATAATAAAAGTGCATGAAGCTTAAACATTATCGATATTTTTTTTGATAGTATCTTACCAGCAATAAAAACTGGAGAACCATTAGCTAAAGCCGCCTGCGAATTTTTCTTCGGTACAGAAGAAAGTATTTCGTCCATCTCTACCTTGTCAATATCGACAACTCTATAGACTTCCTGAAGTAATTTGTAGTCAGTCAGTGTGGCTCGTTTATTACCGCCATACGACCATCTATTATCGAATTTATAATAACGCCGATTAATCAAATCAAAAAATTACAATAAAACACAAAATATTGAATTTACTTTGGAGATAAAGAAAACCAAGCGAAAGCCGCCCGATATAGACGTGATCGAAATTGATATTCTATCAGCGCTTCCATGTGGTTAGATTGTAGTACTTTGAATCCGAGCAGTAATATTTCAAATCTAGCTTCTCTCGACAAAGAATGGTTACTGTAAAGAAAAAAGCAATTAATAATTAGCAAGTTTTGTTTTATATCATTATTTCAAATCTGGAAACAAACCTCATGGAATCGCAATAGTCAAGGGTGATTTGGAAAAGTCGAAGATAAAGATTTACAATTTCAGGACTTCTGTATCGTACAGCCTGAAATCGACTAGACAAGAATTGAATCCAGGTTATATGAGACCCAAACAAGTAATTGGCCAGTTGATATGTTTTATCCCGTGATTCCTTATCAGAAGGCGCGTATAACATTTTATTGACAAACGGAGCTTTCACGCTTAATAAAAATTTAAATAAATCATTAATTCAAACAAAAAAGATACGTGTATTAAAGATGAATCGTATTGTAATTCCTTACTCAAGTGCACCAGAAAACAATCCCATACGATGTCTCAATGCCCAGATCCAGCTATTCACTATTTCAACCATAATACGTTTTTCGATTTCTGGCTTTTCTGTAATTATCCAGTTCCAAATTTGTGTCGCTAATTTTATAGATTCGGGCTTGAATATGTACACGGGAATCCAGACAACATATTGGATGATATCGTCCACCTGAATGTAATGAACATGTAATTCATCAATAAACGAAGACCAATCAAAAACTTGTTAAAATTATGGGCTTGCTTACCTTTGATGAAGCAATTAAGATTGCGGCCGCTAGATGCAAAGTATTATTTACTTCTTTTAAAGAGAAATGGGTTCCAGCCAGCACGCGTTTCTCTAAAAGAGCTAATTGCTGCTTTAATTGTTCCAAGATACCTTCAAGATTCTTGGTGGGCGAGTGAGAGTCTTCGGAATCTTTGACTAGAATAAATAAATATATTAATGAGTAATCATCAATTCGCATATATATTGGAATTACCATTCTTTTCAAATAACCACCTTTCAATGCGTCAACTTCAATCCAATGTTGTAAACTTCCACGATAATGTCGTCGAGAAGAATAATCACTAATGAAATCTGAAAGATTGTCAACAATTACACCAGGAATACGAGGCAATGTTCCTATTAAAAAAAAACAATGCAAAGTTGATTATCGATGTTTATATATAAGAAAAAAGAATATAGGAATCAAATAATATATATTTTTCAAAAATACCAAATCGGTGATCAATTTTTGAAAAAGATTTGCCGATTTCCAAGGCTATTGAGCGGCCCATGTGACTAGGATTTACCGATTGATATGGATCAAACTCTGCAAGATAATTCTATAAATAATAAAAATATTAAAATGGCATTTAGAGTGTGATGCCAAATTTATGCTTTAGATATACGTACTTCTATAATCCCGCGAATGTCTAAAGGAGCAAGAGACATCGCACCCGTAAGCCATTTTTTGGCGTTTTCGCATAACGAGGAAAGCATTTCTCTCCGATAATTACAAGTATCCGGAAACTCTAGTGTCACCCCAACTTTTGGCGACCTGAATGTATATACGGGGCTATACTATTTTTTGCGAAAGAAAAAATAATCAAACAATCGATCAATATATAATCAGTGTTTTCTGTTCAACTTCTTTATTTTTGGTTGAATTTAACAAAGTGGTTGGGTTTTTACCTCGTTCAAATATTCAGCTTCACAACTTTGCCAAACCAACTCGATCAACTCCAACAACAGGAATAAAAGCCTTTTGTCACACAATATCAACGGGAGTGCAGTGATTAACTGGTCAAGATATTTGATTGAGAGACGATGAACTTTTTCGAGACGGTGACAAGCGCCAATCATCAGATTACGCACTTGAGTACGTAGGTTATCGTCAATTGTGTGTGCGATTGTTCTTCTAGTACATTCGGATATGAACCCTTTAATAGCCTAATGATAACGAGTATCATTATTTTTTATATTAGTTGAAAAAAAATTGTCGAAATTGATTAAAAAATTCACAATTAAGGTATAGCAAAGCAAAATACCTGATCGCCAATTTCTTCCATGCATACAACCAATTTGCTTTCATTCACTCCTTTGTTAACAAAATACCGAAGCACAAACGAGCATTTGCCCAATTGACTTTGCATGGTTTCAATATGATACACAGAAAGTAAGAATACAATTTCGGCGAAGGTAAAGCTACGAATTTCGTATGCACGATTTGGTAGAAATGCAGATAGTGAAGAACGCAAAGAAGCGAGGTCCTGTTATCATAAAATAATTATTATAAGTTAGAAAAATAAATAGATTGATAAGCAAAAACTTGAAATATAAATAATGTTTAAACGATCAAAAAAAAATCAACCTGTTCAGATTTTCCTCTACGTAATACCGAATTATACTGTAAATCACTTGACAGATAATTTGTCGCGCTTTCAAGTACTAAGGGCGGAGTCTTTTGCGCGATCGCAACTAAACAATCATGCCATTCGCGTACCCATGTTGTTTCAGAAACGAATCCGTACAAAACACAATAAAACCAAACGTTACGAAACATTGCGACCAAATCTTCTGACGGGTTAACCTTAAAGTCGTCGTGAGCCAGTAATACTTTGAGAACGGGGAGTAAAATGCCAAGTTCTGCAGCTAAAGCTGTAACCTTTAGACAAATAATATATGGTTATTTTTATATATATTATATATATGAGAAAAGAATAGAGTATATCCAAATATTGCAAGCACCTTTACTTTTCCATGTTCTGATACTGCATCTTGAATTTTCACACCTTTTTCTACAAATAGAAATAATATTTTCGTCATGTATATCCCGTAAAATTCTGGACGTGCGCTGATTCGTTTGGCCAAATTCAGTTGGCATTTCAATACCTAGTTTTCATAAGGACATTAATAAAGATAACACATTAAATGAAACATCAAATCAAAGGATACCAAATAAAAAGTTTACCGCAGTGGTAATAATTTTATTCTCTTGTGAAAATATTAGTTTAATACTGATCACATTAAATTTCTCGGTTATATCAAGGAACGTGCGTTCCGGGCCTATTAATGCAATTTCCACCAATTTATCGAGTATCAGGACGTCAAGAGACGGAGTACCAGTGTGAAGACGTTGCTTGAGCAGGGAAACTACTAAATTAATGATCTTTCCAACATTGAATTCAAAAGAAAAATCAGTTACTTTGTAGGAAAATTTTATGTCAAATTAAATTTTTTTTTAAATTGTTTAAAACTTACCTTGTCATTTTGCAAGATGCAAGCTATCCCGACAATAGAGCAAATAATGTTCTCAGATATTTGATATCGTTGTTCTTCAGTACGTGAAAACCCGCTTAATGTGCTATCCAGAGAGACTTCATCACTATGATTTGAGACATTTGGGGTAATTACTGGAGATACAGGCGGACGTTCATATTCACCCGTGATGAGCACGTTATAAAATGCGTGAATAACTGAATTTACATCTTCATTTGATGCCTATATAATTTTTCAAGAGATTTTTTATTAATACAGCCAGAAAGTCATATTTTTGCTCGTGAAAAAATATTTAATGTGCAATCTACCTTTAGACAACAAGCAAGTCGATCAATTGCATATTGTTGTATTGTAAGATCGTTAAAAGCGACAACAGCTAATTCGAAAATAGTCGAAGAAGTGGTAAGGAATTTACGCATTGTATCGATCATCCGACCTGTTAAATGCCTGAAACTAATAATGTCGATTTTAAATTAATTATAAAAATTGTTAATGTAATTGAAAAAAATATTATTATTATTAATTTTTTGAGAAGAAAATCGTACTTTAAAGCAATTAAACAAGCGACATCAAGTGCCGCAGTCTGAACTTTGACATCTGGTGTGTGAGGAACATTAAATAAGGACGATGTCAACTTTCCCGTCAATTCATCATCAATCTCTTGAAGATAAATGCTGGAAAGGCCTGCCAAATTCTTATTCACATTAAAGAATGCAGTAATTAACAATACGATATAATATTTAAATTATACATAGGATTTAGATCTTACTAGACAAACGGCCATAATCTCCCGTGCATACATTCCAATCGGATATTCTTTTCCCTGCAAATTCTCGGTTAATTTTGTTAATTCCGTAAAATACTGTAATGCCATTATATAAGTCGCCCTTAGAGCTTTCTTCACGTCTTCTTCTAGAGTAACAGTATTCACAATCGGATTACCCGTCAAAACATTCCAAACGTCTGGAAAATTCATCATTGTCACCCACTCATCATCTCTGTCGTTACTATTATTCGTGTTGGTATTATTAGTGAGAACAAGAGTAATACGCGAGAGGATATTTTTCTTCATCGTAAAGAGTCCAAAAATGAGAGAATTGGTAGATAACGGAGAATCGATAAATTGATATTTTGCGAGTAGTCGTTTCCCATAAGCTTCTTTGGGATCTACTGATTGTAATAACGAGTCAATTTCCCCGTTGATAAATGATAATGAATCATTGTGGATCAAGTCAAGAGTTTTCTTTGAAAGCGCCATGAAATCTTGTATATCCCATGCTATATTGGAGGTTTGGATCGCGCGGATACAACCATTAAATAATGGAAGTACTACCGTACAAATGTGTTCTGTGCAGAGTAATCAATCAAGCGTACGTAGTATAAATAAATTTATTAATTTTGGTTTTGTTGTTAAATTGTTGTTGTCGATTGTAGAGATTTCCGTGAAATAAATATATTCCATGTAGATTTAATTATCATTAAGCGCCAGGAGAAAAATTGATTATTCAGTATTTCTTCCATTTCTTAATTGGTTCTGGCAATGGCATAGTTGAGAAAATTTTAGGGTACCATTTCTGCATTTTATGAGTTCCGTCAGAGTTTCTATAAATGCCCACACGGAGTCAATGATCTCATTTCGTTTATCGGGGTATCGAATCGCGATTATTAGCAATTCAGATATTAAATTTCCGGCTAATTCGTCGGGGAGTGAATAATCTTAAGGTTTTTATAGACAAATAAGTAATTTTCGTCATTTACATATATTTTTATTAAACAGAAAATAAATTAGTTTCTCATTACTACTACACCTTTCCATGTCAATGTTTCCTCAAAGGAAAAGGCAGGAAGTTGCTTTAGATGATTGAGTAAATGTGGTAAAACTTCAACGAGGTGGGTTGTTGAAGTTGTATTTGCTGCAAATACTGCTAATGATGAAATGCTTTGCTGATATGACTTTGTCTATAGGTCAAATTAATAAAAAATGAATCCATTCAAAAACATTATTTACGATATTTCAGGAATTGAAATTTTAAATTAATATAATCTTCTATTCGTGTTTGGTAAGTAATTAAATAAAACTACTGATATATGATTACAAGTTTAAGAATGTCTCACACACCATGAAACCAACAGCATTTCCATTCTCAAGGCCATCGCTTGGCAATAACAAAGGACACCTTGTCACTAATCTCAAAAGTTCATCTTTAGTTGTTGATGTAACTTGTCTACTCAAAACATTTGCTAAACTATCAAGAATCAAGGCATGCAAATCAAACTCTAGGCTATTATAAAAATTACATTTACAAAATTAAGCAAAATTTCATAACGTAATTGACTTGAATTCGCATAAAAATAATATTTTGAACCTGTCCATTTCCGCTTTGCTGATCACCTTTTTCCGGTTCAAATAATACAGTTTATTGAATGATGTAAACCTGTCTTTTTATTGACAACATGGAGATATGATATCATTAGGGTTCACATAGCATAATTATTCCCCCCTTAATAATCCACCTGTTCTGTCCTTTTTAGTTGTGATCTCATATATAATATGTATATCGTGCCAATATTTGTAAATACCACCGACTTGCCATGGAACTTAACAGACCAGAAGAGCAAATTGACGAGGTTCCCACACCTTTAGCGGCAAATTCTTCTGCACGCTCTTCACAGATAGCTAACAGTTCGGCTAGTCGTCCACGCTTACACTCTCCTTATCCGACTTCTTCAAATATAGGTGAGAATACTACAGCGATGCCGAAACCAACGCGACGAAAGTCAAAGGTTATGTCTAACACTTCTTCGCAAGAAGACTCTTCCGACCACTCTGACGACTCAAAGAAACGTAAACGTCCAAGTGCACATAGACGTCGCTCTTCCTACAGACCGAGAAATGCAAGCAATGTTATACATAATGAAACGGGTACAGATGCGAATCGAGACGACGAAGTGGTAGAGGAAGAGACTAGAGATGACGAAGATGAAATTTCATTTAATGATAGTGATAGGGAATATACTCTTAAAGACAGACAAGAGGTAAGAGTTTTTTTCTTTATATAGCATTACTCGTGTTGCATACATACGAAAGCTGAAGTTGTCCATATTTGCAAATTTAGGCTATAAACATAACACATCCTTTCGGCCTTCCTTTGTGGAAACCGGCATTATACAAAAAATCTCGTTCTGTAATCCGAAATGCTAATTCAGCCTTGCATTCAACACCATCATCCGAACTATATCTCTATCCGGGTAATATTATATGGGCACTTGTATTTGGTTGGTGGCTGGCAATTATATCGTTTATAGTCTCGATTTTCTTACTGTTAACACCATTTGGAGGATGGAGATATGCACGAGTTTTACGAGAATTGAGTTATTACATTTTTTGGCCTTTTGGAAAATACGTTGAACAGATCACGGAAGAATGGGTATACGACGATGCTAATCGTTATATGGATGCAAATGGTGCTTATGAAGATAATATTGGATTGACCAATGAAAATCATCCTAATAACAACGAAACTGGGAGTAATCCATTGTTGAGACGTAGAACGAATTTTTCAAACAGTGAAAATCAGACATCTCAAAATGATCAAAAGCAACGACCTTTTGCTTCTTATTTTGGGAACATTGGATTTGCGGGTATTATTTTTTATTTTTGGTTCTTTTTATTAGTAGGTAAGTGAATGAATGAATGAATTAGTGATTTTAACGAAATCTTTTCTCAGATTGAATAAAATTATTAAATACCAAATCTCTTAATTATTGTTATAGCTCCTTTGTATATTATCGTTTCAGCTTTATGTTGGTTTATGGTTGTCTTTATTCCAATGGCCAAACTTACATACGTAGTCACACGACATTTACGAAAACGTCCATTATCACTACACTTCAAATCCGGATCATCACTTTCATTCTCTACATCACAACGCTCGGTAATCTTACTATGCACATACAAGGCAATCGGATGGCAATACTACAAATACACCTACGATGGTATTAACATTATTTTCATCAACCTTATGCCCCTCGTCTTCTTCACCATCTTCGACAGCAATGTACTTGAAAAGATAATCCCTGACCGGTTTATTGTTCAGCCATTGACCATTTTCGCACTAGGACTTGCCTCGGTTATCCCACTTTCTTATTTTATTGGCATGGCTGTTGCATCAATTTCTGCACAGTCGTCGGCGGGGATGGGTGCCGTGATTAACGCCACTTTCGGTAGTATTATTGAGATTATTTTGTATTCGATTGCGTTGATACGTGAAGAGGGGCTGATTGCCGAAGGAAGTATTATTGGGAGTTTGATGGCTGGTGTGTTGCTTATGCCTGGCATTAGTATGGTTAGTGGTGCTTTTAAACGTAAAGAGCAAAAATTTAATGCAAAGAGTGCAGGTAAAGTATATTATTTTTAATTAATTACCCTTTAAAGCTTTTACTAACGCATTCGATTCATATCATTTAGGTGTGACATCAACTATGCTTATTATGGCTATTATTGGAGCACTCACACCCACCTTATTCTATCAAATATACGGAAGTGTAAGTGATATCATTCTTTTTTTTGTCTTTTATAAATAAAAAGGTAACAATGTTTAATAAAATTGTATTTAGTTCGATATGATATGTGAACCTTGCGTCGGCAAGTCATCTTGTCAGAGTTGTCATTTTGAACAACCCAATCCCATTGATGATTCTTTCTACCCCACTAGGATAAAACCTTTAATGTATTTTTGTGCAGTCATTTTGTTTCTTGTAAGTAAATATTTTAAATTTTATCAGTTTTTGAATTTATTGTTGAAGCGATTTAAGTATTAATCATTTAACTCGTGTCAATACTTTAGTCTTATATAATTGGGCTTTGGTTTACTCTTCGTACACATGCGGCGCTTCTTTGGCAACCTATTCATCATACCACATTTGTGGAAACAGCTGATTCAATAAACCGTAGTAATTCTATATATAGACGGATCATTCCACTCCATATGCTGCAAAGTTTAATACCTCATCATTCCTCAGTACCACCACCCTATGTACCACCATCCTACCCTGCTAACACTACAATCAATCAGAATTCAGCTCTTCATAATCCGGTTGGTGGAAATCTTCGACCACAATCAGCGCCTGGACCTATCATACATATCGGACCATCGCATGATGAGAATATTCGTATTTCTGATGTGGCCGCCGCGGCTGCTGCAGCTAATTTTGAAGCACAAAATCAACCGTCATTGAGACACGCTTATGAAGAAGAGGAAGAACCTGGGGGTCATGATTCTCCTAATTGGAGTAAATTGAAAAGTTGTATAGTATTGCTCAGCTGCACAGCTTTATATTCATTCATTGCCGGTACATATTTTTATCCTTACTATAAATACTATAAGCGCAATTTTTTTTTTATACCAAAATTATTAATCTTTTAACACATTTGCAATTGTCAGAAATATTGGTTGATACTGTTGATAAATTGCTCGAAGACGGTAGTCTCGACATTGACCCAAAGTTCCTCGGGCTTACATTATTCGCCCTAATACCAAATGTCACCGAGTTCATGAACGCGATGGCATTTGCTCTGCAAGGAAACATTGCGCTCAGTATGGAGATCGGTTCTGCGTATGCGTTGCAAGTCTGTCTATTACAGATCCCAGCTTTAGTTCTTTTTTCGGCTTTTTACAAAATTAAAGAAGGTCATAAACCCAATCCTCAAAATACATTTAGGTATTTGATTATCATTGATTTTGCTATTTAGTCTATTTTAGTGGTACTACTAATAAATAATTCCTCTATTATTTTAGTCTTGTATTTCCACGATGGGATGTTTTTGCAGTCGTGTTCTCGGTGTTTTTGCTGACTTACACTTATATCGAGGGAAAATCCAATTATTTCAAGGGTTCAATATTGATCCTTTCTTATTTGGTTCTTATGGCTGGCTTTTATTGGGCTCCTCTTGCTAGTACAATTTAAACATTATTATGATTTAATTTGTTGTCAATTCAAATATTAGAATATATTTATTCGTTTTGTTCATTTCATTTGCTCAATGTGAAAATTCATTTTTGTTATTTAAATATAATAATTAACATTCTTTATTAATGATGATGCTATATTATTATCCTAAACCTATCTATATATTAAAAAAAATCTATGAAAACCTGCAGTTGAACATTAAAGAGTGTGTTTGCAAAGTACTAAAAACTAAACTAAAAAAGAGCAAAGAAAATAATATATAATAATATATATTACAAAAACAAAAGGAGACAACAACAAATAATAATAATAATAATCCAACCAATTGTATGTGCTAAGCAAATTTTATAAACATATAATCCCGGCGGCAGAAGTAATGAGGAAAATCATCATCACATATCCTCTTGTTTCTTCAAAATAAAATAAAAAATAATATAGAAGTAGCTTGCCTGCAACGTGTGTTTGATTATGACAAAAAAACTACACATTCCCTCCATTAATAAGCATTTTTTTTTTTCCAACACTGTCCAATTTTCTTACCTTTTGCAGCCATTCTTGAAAGCCTCTACTTGCTTATCTTACCATCATCGTCGTGTATTTGTATGTTAAGTGTCAGTGTGTGTTTGATAAATATCATATATACTATTTAATGAATCCCAGGTTTGCGGTTATCGACAATCGTCTCTAGTCAATCAATATCTTCTCTCTAGATTGTTATTTCGTCTATGTTTGATAAGTGTGTGTATACTGCAGTTTTTTTCGTATATTTTTTATCGTGTTTTTTTTCTTTTTTTCGAAATCTTATTTTTGTTTGGTTTTTTATGCTGTATGGGGGAAAATCAAATTTGAGTAGAACCGAAGAACAACACAATAGAATAATAATAATAATAATAATATAGATGAGATAATGTCCACCGCGAAAAAGAATATAATAATAATAATAAAAAATAAGGTCAATTTTCTGCTCTCCCTTTTCAATAACAAATCCTAGAACAAGATCATCACACAGCTATTATATTGAGATTGGGAAACATCGCCCCCCCAAATCGACTCACTTCTTTAGTAGTAGTATAGATGATAAATCAAGGACCACTCTTGACAGTCTGCCTCACGTGTGGCTGGTCAAATGGTGTTGTTGGAGGAGCAGCAGGAGTGAGAGTCGTCACTGAGGCACCCCTATTGTTGGTGGTGGATGCCAATATATTAGACGATGATGATGTATGATTATCAGGTTTTTCCATACGGTTTTCTGATCCATTCAAAATTTGTTCATTATCATTTTCGAATGCTGACATTACTGTATCATTCGAGCCTCGTCGCTTCTTATTGGGCTGCTCCGTTCCCGTTGTGGTAGTATTATTGAATTTATTCTGTTAAGAGCTGGGCTAATCAACAAGTGATCATGAATTAAACGAAAAAGAAAAAACAATAAATTCAACTATGAATCTTCTGTCTTCACCTTCCCAGTTGTTTTCGGTGATTTACGCCGTATCGGTCTTTGATCACCATCTTCAAATAAATCGGTGGGGAGTTGATTACTGTAGAAAAAAATACGATATGAAAGCCATAGCTGAAGATCATAGGAAACCTGGACTTTGGTAAATAATATTTTATGGAGACACATACCTCTTTACGTATTTAACGACAATTGCCATCGTTTGTTCGTCGTATTTGTCCCATGATTTCACCATTTTTGTGAATTCGGAAATAGGCCAAGAGATATCCAATTGTCGTGGCGCGGTTGCACCAGCTACAATAAAAGAGAAAGTAAACGCACGAGTATTTTTATATATCTCAACAACTTGCAATAGAAAAAAATGTGTGTGTATATATATATATATCTCTCTCTCTAAAAATATAATAGAACATACTTGTTCGAGGCTCGATATATAATCCAATGTAGAAAGTTGTCGTGTATATTAGGCGGACATTATCTTGTGATTGGTCAGCGGGGTTTACTTCAACACTATTATTATTAAACATTCCGTGTGCAATATCAGATTGTTCTTGATCATTTCTACAATTTTGAACTTTCTCAAAACCATTTACAAAAGGATGCGCTAGACCAAGATTATCTACTACTTCCAGTTTCGTGATGAGATGTCGAATCTTTGATTCTACCATTCCAGACCTACAAATAATATTATAATTAATATTAAGTATATAAATTAATATCACGAATAGCTTACCATTTCAATTGTCGTTCGGGGGAATCCGAAGATGCTATAATTTGGAGATAATAGCGATATCTTAAAAAAAAATCGTGTTTAGCAAAAAGTTCATTCCATTTTCCCGTTCCAACCATGACTTTATCGGCAATTTCGGCGGCTAAATATATAATTACATTAATATATTCATATTAGATACACTATGTCATGCTTCATCGAAATATATATATCTAGACGCTTATTACCTCGTTTGAATTCAGCCTCAATAATTCTTTTTGTCGAGGATGTAACATTGTGCGTTGCGCACATTGAAGGATAAGCTGGAGTAATAATGGGCATCAAATGCGATCGATCAATTGGATATAGCTAGACGAACAAAAAAAGGTATAAATATATTGCTATTAAAATGTGTCAAAAGTCGCCATTACAAATGGTCACGAGTGAGAACATCAAAGAACACCCTGAATATAGATTTTCTTATTCTAAACCTTTGGATTCCAGACTCTGACTTGTAGTGGACCTTCTTCGATGGGCTTCAGTAATACTGGCTGTGGCCAATTCCTATTATTTTCATGACGTAAAATCAAAATTTGTTGATTTTCAGGAAGGTTATTATTATTAATTATTATACTGATAAAAGTATTAACTAAATCAATGTGTGCTTACCATTGATACATGATTCTGAAAAATCGAGACACTATTGCGCCAGCAATTGCATTAGGATATAGTTGGCATATACGGGCCACTAACATAGCCCAAGCTACACCGCCAAAAAATCCCATTATATTTGAATAAATGGCACGTCCTATTATATAATATATCGTAAATACAATAATAGTTTAAAAAAATAATATCAGGAGAGAAAAGTTCTTTATATTTTAAATACTTTTTGCCCATAATTTAATGCATCTCAGAGAAGTCCGAAATGCTGGTATATTAGGAACCAGACGTAGGATTTCATCTGTTACTCGAGATCCTATATTAAAAAGATAGATAGATACGTTCTTAATATGTGATGAACAATGGAGATGGAAAAGGCAAAGGTAAAGGGTAAAAAAAAAAACAAACGAACCATTTAAACTTCTTATACAAGTTTCATCTAAATTTTTCAATAGAGAATTATCTTTAAGATCAAGATCGTCAGCGACTTTAGAAACTCCCAAACTCGCAAACACAAGATCAATCTATTAGAATAGAGAGTATTTAGTTATATCCATTTATAAAAAAAAATAGTATATTTATTTATATTCTTACTGGGATGTCTTGAAATTTCATTTTGATTACGGGCACATATGCATCAGTCACACTCTAAATAATCATTATAGTTATATGAAAAACATTTAATATGCTGTGTTTGTTTGTTAATTCATTCAAACAACCAGAAATAGTTTACCGTCAATTCAGTAACTTCGATCCGATCACGCAAAGTTTCATGCATTTCGGTGAAGAAATCATCGCGTACTACGTGACGAGGAACAACACATAATGTGTCAATGTCGGCACCTGTCGAAATCAACAGACAAGATTTTTTTGATTAGACAAAAACTTGTTTTAAAAATTCAAACCGACGACTATATATATATTACATGCCTGCTCCATGGACACCTAATCGATAGGAGCCGAAAGTAAATATTTTTCCTCCAGCTTCCCTAGCGTCAGCTTCAGGTAAATTTTTTTTTTCTTTACATGTTCGATAAACAAAATCTTTAACGATTTTATCGAGTTTGCCAAGCACTACTTCACTGTAACCGTGAAAAAAAGTATAGTATAACAATTAATTAAAAATTTTCAATGATCGGATCTAATATTTGAGGAAACGCTCACAATCATACCGTCTTTTACTTTCATCTTCGCTTTCAAAAGTGCCTTGTTCTTTAAGTTCTTCAAGTAACGAATCTGTAACTTCATGCTCTCTAGACGTCGGAGGACTCAATGCGATGGGAGGAGTTACACCAAGGTGCTTCGGTTGACTATAAAGTATGTGTGTGTATATGTATATGTGATGGAAAAAGAAGAGTGAAATTCATCAACTTTCAAAACCTTTTATAATCGCCATTTTTTACTTGTATCTTCCAATCTTGTTGGGGTTGAGAGCTAGAGAGATCGAAGAGGAGTGACCTTGAAACACTCAAGAGTTGGTTCCAAGGTATAATATGAAATAATCAGAAAAAAATCCAACTGTTATGTTTTGTTCGTACCCGTTCGTGGCTTCAGTCATTTGCAATTGTGCTTTTGACAAAGGAGTAAGCTAGCTCTCTTGCTTGTGTTATTATTAATAGACGGGAGTGGCGAACGTCGTTACCACTTTTTTTTGAACACTGGAAGAAAGCAAAACACCGAGAATAGTAGATTTGATTTAATTGAATAATTGAATCAATGGTAGACAAAAAAAAACTTGCGTATAAGTATATATATGATTTCAGACTCGAATAATAACAAGAGAAGTTTTTCTTTCGAAACAAAGATAATACTGGTAATAATAGTAAGTGGTGATAATGATGATGATGATTTTGATTTCCTGTTTCGTGTCAAGGAAAGAAAAAATGTCCCGTCTAAATCCAAGTGGGCCGGAAAATCTATAAAGATATTATCCGGAGCGATGCATAGATTGGCTAAATGTTGACGTAAGGTATAACAAAATTATTATTGTCATGGAAATTTTCTAAGCATTATTAGCTTTATGGAAATTGGCAAAAAAGCCACACTTTGACATTTCAAGCCATTAAATAGTCAGATTCGCGCCTGCATATTTTAGATTACCGTTACGTATCTCAGCCAACAAACAAGCTTCAATTGTATCATAGTATACAAACTTTAAAATACACGAACTTTAGATCTAACGAACTTTAGATCTAACGAACTTTAGAGATAACGAACTATAAAAATATATAAAAAAATTTACTATGGAATCGTGCTGGTTACCACATGTATATATAATATTATAATATAATTCCCAATTACAATACAATTTCCAATTATAATACAATTCCCAATTATGATACAATTCCCAATTATAATACAATTCCAAAGTAATAGGTAATTTTATTTTTGATCGAAATGAATTTACTGTAAAACCTCTCTAAGTGCATCATCTATAAATGCACGCACTATATGGCTTGGTTCCAATGCACACCCTCTCTAAGTGCACACTTTGCCTGTTTTTTACTATTTACAATGAAAATTAACTTCAGAAAACGAGTTATTTTTATACACGATTTACATAACGATAACTGAAATATTTTTAGTGTTCTGTCACACAGGCATGTGTCAAAGAATTTATCGAAATTCTAAATTCGCGTATATATAAAAAAAAAAATGTCTTAAACGTGTCAGATACCCTTCTCATAGTTTGATCACCTCCAAACTTTAAACGAAAATAAAAATGTCTGAAGCATCACAAATTCCATACGGAATAATCGTGAAAGACGCCGAATTATCCAAACTTTTTCACGGCGAGAAAATGCTAGAGGGAAATTTCTTTTCGAAAATAACCTCAAAGAATAAAGAAGCTCATAAAGAAGTAGTAAACGGGTATCTGAATTTTTGGCAGAAAAAAGACCCGATGTCGGATACTGAGCAAGAGAAAAATGAACGTACGGAAAACTGTATGACTTTGACAAATTCTTATTATAATATCGCGACTGACTTTTATGAGGTATATTTTATTTGGGTGTACTTAATACTTTGTCCAGCGTTAAAAAAATAAAAGATAATAGACGAAATGAATGTATTATATACTTTAGTACGGATGGTGTGATTCTTTTCATTTTTGTCGTTTTTATCGCGGCGAGAATTTCTCACATGGTATATCACGTCATGAACATTATTTGGCTATGCAATTAAACCCAAAACCAGGCATGAAAATATTAGATATAGGATGTGGTGTTGGTAAGTTAATGTATGCTAACTACTGTCTATATATGCTATATATAGACATGTGCATGTCAAATCAATAATGCATATAACAAAAAATATTATACGTTAATAGGCGGTCCAGCTCGAGAAATTTGCCGCTTCACCGATGCACATATTACTGGGTTAAATAACAATGACTATCAAGTTCAACGTGCTCTCCAATACGCAAAGAAAGCTGGTCTCGAATCAAAAACAGATTTTATCAAGGGTAACTTTATGGAAATGACCTTTGATGACAATAGTTTCGATGCAGTGTATGCAATTGAAGCCACATGTCATGCACCACAACTGGAAAGAGTATATTCGGAAGCTTTTCGCGTTTTGAAACCCGGTGGAAAGTTTGCAATCTATGAATGGTCTTTGACTAATAATTATGATCCTGAAAATGATGAACACAGAAAAGCTGTCCGTGGAATTGAGGCGAGTCATTATTTCATATGTTATATATTAATTACATTGATGTTTATGCATATGTATATCTCTAATAATAATAATAATAATAATAGATAGGCGATGGTATTCCCGAGTTATTCCCAACTTCTGTAGCAGAACAAGCATTCAAAAATGTTGGCTTTGAAATTGAAACTGCTGTTGACCTGGCACAAAATGACGACAAGGCTAAGTGGTATGGTCCTTTAGAGGGAGATTTTCGTAAGGTGCAAACAGTATGGGATTGCTTCACGGTATTTAGAATGAGTATATTAGGAAAGATTTTTACCAGAGCTATGGTAAGATTTACTATTTTACCATAAATCATTTTACTATTAATTATACTATAAAAATTATAATGCAAACCTTTTCATTATTAAGGTTGGTTTTCTTGAGAAAATTGGTGTTGCGCCTGTTGGCTCTCTTCAAACCCAAATGGTATTAGAAACAGCTCAAAATAGTCTTATCGCTGGAGGTCAAATGGGAATCTTTACTCCGATGTTCATGTTGGTTGGCAGGAAACCTGTTTCTATTTAGCCTTTAAACTTTATTTAATCTTTGATTAATTTAACAGCTGATAAATACCATTAGTCATTATTAAGCTTAGTATTTTTGTTATTGTTATTATTATTATTATTATTATTAAGGTTATTATTAATGTTATTTTTAGTGTTGTTATTATTGGAATTGGTATCATGAGTTTCATCAAGCTCTGAATCGTCATCATTATTCGTCTCATTTGTTTCCTCATTTTTCTTTCCATATTTTGCCTTTGATCTGCTCCTTCTCTTTGCCTCTCTTTTTCTGATTTTTTCCCTTTTAGCAGCTAATTTACTCTGTTCACCGTTATAAAATTCGTCTAATTTGAGTTTGAGTAAATGACGTGCAATACCTCGATTGTCTTCGCGAGATCGACTTTGTTGGCACTATAATAAAAATATATCATTTTATTGAAATATTTATAGTTATTATTAAAATAACAAATATACGAATTGTCATTACGCGAACTCGAATATCAGTTGGCACATGTTTCAAATACACACAAATAGAAGACTTGTTGATTTTTTGCCCGCCAGGTCCAGAACCTCTAATAAAACTTTCTTCCAAATCCGATTCGTTTAATACTATTCTTACGCGTTCTTTAAATGATTTAGGGGTTGATTGATCATGCTCTTTCTTATCATTATTATTTTTGCCCGTGTTATTATCAATTGATGTTGTGCTGTTAAAATATCTCAAGTTACGAAAACTTGGTCGAATTATGAATTCACAGGTTTTCGATAGGGATAGTCGCATCATGTTTAAAAATTACCAACAGTGACATGTCTCATTAGTTTAAGTTATTTCATTAAATGAAGCATAGCAATAGTGAATCGGGAAATCTTAACTCAACAATCACGTGATTTTAGTTACGGGATCAGCGTTGTCAATTTTTGCATTCAGTGATAATTGAAAGTTCATTGAAAAGTTCAATTTTGCTTTCAATGATTTTTCAAGTAGTTTCATTGATAATACTGCTACAAACAGTATTTTGAAACAGTATTTAATTGAATATTGTTACATATTTTTTACTAATCAGATAATTAACTAATAAACATTGTCATGAGTCCTGGACTCAGATAGGTAATCTCATGACATGAGTGTTCAACCAACATCTATTTCAGTAAGTTAATAGTTGCAATCCAATTGCTTTAGGATCATGGCGCTGTGTGACTTCTTCTATTTTATTAATTTAAAATAGATAACACTACTACTAATAAATATTTTTCTTTATATTTACTTAGTATGATAACAGTTTTATAACAATATAATATTGATATCCTATAGCAATCTGGTTGAGTGTCCAGTAGTGTGTAAAATGTTATAACAAGATTAATAATTATAAAATCAATTAATATATAATTTTATTAAACAAGAAGTGATTTATTGACTAGTTAGATTTTGTATTGATTAATTAATACCTTTTGATTTATCCAAAAGATTCTTTATTTATATAAAATAATTTATGATTAAGTTATTATAATGTGAAATATGTTATACATGTAAGATAAATATGATATAGCAAATAATGTTGATATATCTAAGAATCCTGCTATCTCTGCTATCTCTACAATTTATATTGTTACCATATTTTATGAGTCCTTGGGAGAGCAGGTGAGTGCTTAATAACGTTATAATAAGTTACTTGGCCAGGGTAAT